ACAAACTTGAAAAAAAAACAGAAGCAAAGTTTCCCATCCCTCCCACCCTACCTTCTGTCCCCTTACTCTCCAAAGCAAAACAAAACAACTCTGCCACCACCAACTCTACAGCATTAGAGAAATTTAAACATTTTCATCATTTATCGCTCGAAGGTATTGGTAAAACTGAGGTACAAAGACTAGTAAATTTTTGTCTTTGCAGTCTTATAACAATGGTTACACTGGAGTCATTGCCAACAACTGGGGGCAAAAGGGGGAGACTTCTGGCTGAAAAACACCTTTGGATCCAAGATGACTGGCCAATTGAGAGAGATTTGTGTTTGAGAGACCAGGATTTGTAACTGTATAAATCAATGGAATACAGTATACTCAGGGGTTATCTACTATGAACTATGTGCTGTTAAATGCAATGCGTAGGGTAAGTAATCCCTGGTGAGAGAATCGAGATTCCTGACAGTCCTCAGCGAAGAGATGCTTCCTGTGTTTTCCACTCTTCGACAAAAGACCTGCACGTTGTAATCTTCAGAATGTACTTTCTTTTCTGCATGGGGGGTACAGCAGAACAGAGCCTGGCTAACAATGAACCTGGTGTTTGAGGGAGCCTTAGCACTTTGCACCTGACATACAAACCTGATGCATTGTCTCCAGTGACACTTTTTTGGAATGCCACCAATTCCGGCACTCCTGTGTACTACATACACATCTATCTCCTAAAATGTGAGCATTCATTAGCCATTTTAAAATATTAAAAATATTCAAAAATTAATGACACTAACAACAAAGCCAAGTCCTTTTTAACCCAGAGAGATCACAAGTAGAGGGCAAAAGAAAATGACCAATATAATATGCAGGCCTGAAGCCCCATTCCAGCACCACCCAGCTACACACGCCGCTCAGAAGATTAAATTGCCTGTGAAAGGTTCCTATGCTGGTGCTCTAAAATAGAGACCCAGAATCCTGCTAACAAGCCTTAGACCAAAGCCAACTGAGTTTGAACAAGGACTGACTTTAAAAGCCCAGCT